TTGCAGCTCCTCTAGCTCGCGTTTTGCCCTCACCACCTCCGTCTCCATGAGGTCCAGCCGGTTTTCCAAGTGAAGGCTCTCCTCCTGGGGGTGGGGGTGGGGACAGGCCCGTGACCGCTGTCCCTCTGCAGTCTGGCCCTCCTACTTGCCTCCACCCCACCTCCCAAGTCGCCCTGGTCCCTACTTGGAGATAGGCCTTGAGCTGCAGGTACACATTGGTAATGTGTTCGGCTTCTTCCGCTTTCATCCGGGCCTTCTCCAGGCGGTTCTCCAGGTTCCGCATGGTCTAGATGGGAAGCAAGGCTGGGCGGAGTCCCCTCCCCTCTGCAGTTCTCCTCAGGATCTCCACCCCTCCTCAACGGGCCTCACCTTGGCCACCTCTGTGTTGCCATTTTGCGCTTCGGCCATCTCCAGCTGGCGGAGGCTGTGCCGCAGCTGGAGCTCTTCCAGCCACTTCTGCCGCACGCCCAGCTGGTGCCGCAGCGCGTTCAGCTGTTTCACCTTCTCGCTCAGCCGGTGGTCCAGGTGCTCCAGGGCCTGCTGGAGAGAGGCCAGCCCAAGCGGCAGCCTGAACCCTCCCACCTAAGCCTTCCTCCCAGCCTTCCTCCCTCCTTCTTTTCCCAGATCTTGTTTCTCCTCTCCCCGGGCTCAGCGGCATCAGACTCCAGACCCAGCTGACCCCATGCTCCTGCAGATCGTCTCCCCACTCCCCAGTTTGCCACCCTGGCTGCCCTTTTCCCCTTACTTAGCCCAAGGAGAGACAGCCTCTGAGGATTCTCACCTCTGTTCACACCCAGCCCCTCCATGGACCTATCCAGGCTCAGGGTCTGAAAACTCACCATAGCTGAGAACATCCACATTTAAGCACCCCTTCCCCACACCGGGAACTGCAGGCTCATATACCCATATCTACACTGCCATCCAGGCACCTCAAAACCATTGTGTCCAAAATTGAGTACATGATCTTTCCCCAAGTCCTTCCTGGACTCTTCTTCTCCATGTCAGCTCATGGCAGTTTCATCCTTCCAGGTATGCAAGTCCCCCAAACCCGATGTCCTCACCTTCTCTTCTTCCATCCCACCTACAGCCAGCTTGTTAGCAATGCTTTGTTCTATTTCAAAGGTTTTCCCAGAGCTACCTCGTTCTTCCTATTTCCACCACTTTTGTCGAAGTGCAGCCAACACCGTCTTCACCTGGAGGACCTCCCCGCAGCTTCCCTCTTCTTCCTCACACTCTACGTCATAAAATCTAAACTCTTAAGCCTGCTGGAAGGTTCAGCCCCTGCTGACCTTCTTTTTCTTTTCTTTTCTTTTTAATCTTTTTTTTTTAAGATTTATTTATATTTATTTGACAGAAATCACAAGGAGGCAGAGAGGCAGGCAGAGAGAAAGGAGGAAGCAGGCTCCCCGCTGAGCAGAGAGCCAGATGTGGGGCTTGATCCCAGGACCCTGAGATCATGACCTGAGCTGAAGGCAGAGGCTTTAACCCACTGAGCCATCCAGGCGCCCCATTCTTTTTTTTTTTTTTTAATTAAAGATTTTATTTATTACTTTGAGGAGAGAAAGAGCCTGAGCAGGAGGGACAGAGGGACAAGTGGACTCCAGGGCTTGATATGGAGCTCAGCTCCAGGACACTGAGAGCATGACCTGAGCTATAGTCAGAGGCTTAACGCACTGAGCCACCCAGCTGCCCCCTGACCCTCTTGACCTCATCTCCTACAGAGCCCTGCTCAAGCGCTCCCATCCAGCCACACTGGCCAGGCCTGTGTCTCCAATGCTCTACTCCCTTGCTTCTACTTCAGGGACTTTGCACTTGCTGTTCCCTCTGCCTGGATTGCTTTTCCCCAAATCATTTCCTGCCTGTCTCATTCTCAGCTCAGATATCAATGTCTTAGAGAGAGGTGGCTTTCCTGACCTCCCCAACCCAATCTAAAGTGCAACCCCCTTGGGGTGCCTGGGTGGCTCAGCTGGTTGTCCACCTTTGGCTCAGGTCATGATCTTGGGGTCCTGGGATCTAGTCCCGTGTTGGGTTCTGCGCTCAGCAGAGTGTCTGCTTCCCCTCTCCCTTTGCCCGTCCCACCCCCTGCTCATGCTTGTGCTAAGTTAATAAATCTTAAAAAAAAAAAAAAAAGGTGCAAATCTCTGCCCCTATCTATTTCTGTTTAGTTCATTTCTGGTCACTCCTGGAAATTACTTTATTTCTGCATTTGTTCTTGGTGTTTTTGTTTTGTTCTTGTTTTTATTTTGTTTTGTTTTCCTCCACTCTCTTTTCCCCACTAGGATATGAAGGTTTGGGAAGTGGAGATTGGTCTGGTGTTTTGTTTTGTTTTTTTTTACTGCATAGTCCCCAATACCGAATACCATGCCTACACGTGGTCGGTGTGTGATAAAGATTAATTGAGTGAATACATTAGCGCCAGCTAATGTGGAGAAAGGATTGGAGAAGGTGAGATGAGTCAGGGAGTCCAGTGGGGAGGAGACACAAGTTGGAAACGAAGGGAGAAGGGAGAGGGTCAGTGGAGTGGGGATGGCGCAAACCTGTCCTGTCCTGTTCTTCAAATACGGCTTCTCTGACTTGCACTCCCGAATCACCGCCTGGACCAATTTCTCATCTCCCTGCAAGGAGAGGAGCCCAGTCACTACTCACGCAGACCACCCCAACCTGAAGCAGTGCCCTGCCCCCCTGGGGACACTGCCCTCACTCTTCAGGACCCTTCGCCCATTTCAGCATCCTCACCTGCAGCAGGTCTGTCAGCTGAACTTGCAGGACCCTGGTCTCCTCCTGGAGCTGGTTGATGGTCTCCTGATTCTTCTTGATGTTCCACTGGGTGCTCTCATAGAAGGCCTTCCGGTCACCCTCTGAGGTCATACGAGGTACACAAGCGAAGTGTGTCATAGGGGGTCGGGGACTTCCCAGAGGAAAGCTGTTTTTGTTATCGTTGACTTAATATCACAACGATACTTCAGTGGGAACACTTGTCCTATACTCGATGCTGGACAAAGAACCTTCCAGCTGTCAAATACCATATGCCAACAGGTACATATCCATATCATACCCCTTTATAGATAAGAAGAATGAGGCTCAGGCTTATTAGATTGTTCAAGATCCCAAGAAGTCTGATTCCCGAGCCTGTACCTTCAACTACTGTGCAAGATTATACTTTCTAATAATAACAAAACAGTTACCATAATGGTTTACATCAGAATTCTCCAACCTTGGCATGACTGATATTTGAGGTGGATAATTATTTGTTTTGATCTGTCCCATGAGTTGTCAGATGTGGAGCAGAGTCCCTGGCCTCTGGCCACTGGATGACCCCCACCCCCAACAATGTGACCGCCAAAAATGTGTCCAGGCATTGTCAAGGACCCACTGCGGAGCAAAATAGCCCTCTTCCATTGAGAAACATCGGTTTACGCTTTATAGTGTTTTACCATGTGCCAGTCACTGTTCTCAGCACTTTATACATTTCAACCCCTTATGGGGTTGTACTCTTACTATCCCCATTTTTTTTTTTAAAGATTTTATTTATGTATTTGACAGACAGAGATCACAAGCAGGCAAAGAGGCAGGCAGACAGAGGGGGAAGCAGGCTCCCTGCTGAGCAGAGAGCCCGATGCGGGGATTGATCCCAGGATCCTGGGATCATGACCTGAGTGGAAGGCAGAGGCTTTAACCCACTGAGCCACCCAGGCTCTCCTTACTATCCCCATTTTACAAATAGAGAAATTGATAGTAATTAGGCTGCTCATCGTCCCCTAAGATCAAACACTCTTTGCAGAGCAGAGCCAAGATTTGAACCCAGAAAATCTGCCTTTAGAATGTGTTTTTTACCAACCCCCTCCCCTCAAAGTGCGTGGTAGAAGAAATTACACGAAACTATGAAACACAGTCTAGTTGGTTCTGAGCCTAGGAAAGATTTCATAAGAGATAAGGAAAACCATGAACAAGTATGAGTTTTTGCCTCCAATTTTTGCCACCTGGATGAAGACCGGTGGAAGGCCCTGTCACACAGTGCCTGGTCGCAGGGCTGGGAGGGCACTGTTAACTCCTGATTCTTTGTGCCCTTTCGAGCGGTCTTACCTAACAGTTGTATCTTCCTTTGTAACTCTGCCACCTGCGTGTGCACAGCTGACTTGCCCCGGAGGACATGGAGGGGTCCCGCCTTGGAATGCAGTGGAAGCCAGGCCTGGGGCACACCCTTCACTTGGGAGTGACTGTGCTGGGCCTTAGTCTGACTGTCCTGGACCTTGCGGGAGGTCGAAACCTGGTCCTGAGAAGGCGGGATGTTGGTGGAAGCCCCCCAGCACAGGGGAGACGTCATGACTGGGCTGGGGCCTAGGGTCCCTGGGGATTAGGGTGGCAAATAGCAATTGCCCCGGTCCTGGATCCGTCAGCACGGGTTCCCCGGGCTCTGGGAGAATGCACTTTCCGACCGCTTGGCGGGGCCTCTCAGCATTTCCCGGTTGCTGGGTAACTTCTGCCCCGCCCACTCCTTCCAACGCTCCCATGGAAACCGTCCGCGTTCCACACCACCGCTTTCATTGGCTAACGCTGTGCAGAGGGGCGGTCCAGTTGCGGACTGGCTAAGCCTCTCGGCTAGGTTATTAGGAGGGGAGTACTTTGGGGCCACCTGCTCATCTTTTTTTTTTTTTTTTTTTTTTTTTTTTGCGTTTTATTTTTGAGTAATCTCTACACCCAATGTGGGGCTGGAACCTGCAACCCTGAGATCAAGAGTCACACGGTCTATGTCGGAACCAGCCAGACAGCCCCTACTTTAAAAAAAAATTTTTTTTTTTTTTTAATTTTTGAGTAATCTCTACACCTAATATGGGGCTGGAACCCACATCCTCAAGATCAACAGTGGCGCTCCCGGACTGAGCCAGCCAGGAACCCCCTACTTTTTTTTTTTAAGCACCCCCCCCTACCCCCGCAACACCACTACCACCCCGCTGGGTTTCCAGGGCATTTTTCAGGAACCTTCTTTTCCCGGGGCAGAACCTGCCACTCCCAAGATGGAGGAACGGAACGCCGCCATTAAGCGCGAACCGTCAGAACGATCCCCTCTAGAGCTTCACAGTCCTATCCAAGATGGCCGTCTGGGTTCCAGCCCACCCCTCCCCCATTTGACACTCCCAACATGGCCCCCTTGGGTCGCCGCTCCGCACGAGCGGCTTGACGCCGGAAGTGACGCGTCCCACATATTTCCGCTTTCTTTTTTCTGGAGGGACAGTTGGCTGCTGGGCTGGGGGGCGCGGTGGATATTGACCTTTGCCCCGGCCTCGTGTAGGTGGTGAATTAACGCGCGGGGAGGGGTGGTGGGGGTCTCCCCAATTTCTTATTGGGGGCAGCTCGAGGGTGTTCGTCGGTAGAGTGGGAGACTGTTAACCCCTTTGGCCAATTAGCGGGAATTGGATAGCTCACCAACCCTACCCACCCGCGACCCTCCCCGGGCAGGGAGTGGAGGTTTTGAGCCTTCCCCCTTGATAAGAAAAAAATGAGACTCCCTCTGGGCAAGACTAGGGAGAGCCCCCCACGCCGCCCATATCGGAAGCAGAGTGAGCCCCCATTGCCCGGAAGCGATGGGGGAGTCCAGCTGGCTGGAGGAAGAGGAGACTTCCTTCGGCTGGAAGTAGCCCTCTTCCACTGACCGGCGGTCCCTTTCTTGCCGCAGCGTGGGTGCACAGCACATCTCCCCGCGGCCGGCTTCCTCCCCCCAGAACCTCTTTTCGGCCTGCGAGCTTCTGCGAGATGTTACTGTTCCTGTTGCTGCTGCCCCTGTGCTGGGCCGTGGAGGTCAAGAGGCCCCGGGGCGTCTCCCTCACCAGTGAGTCCGCCACTGGAGGTGGCTGGAGGTGGGGGTAGGGTGTGGGAGGGGCCGACTTGGCCCCTGGGATAGACACTTTGAGCTTTCTGCCTCAGTTTCCTGGCCTCTGGGTAGGGAAGGTGGCAATACTCAGCGGCTGAGGGGGCCTCTTCGTGCCTTGGGTTGATGAGCCCCTTACCTCGTCCATCCCAGACCATCATTTCTATGACGAGTCCAAGCCTTTCACTTGCCTGGACGGCTCTGCCACTATCCCTTTTGATCAGGTCAATGATGACTACTGTGACTGCAAGGATGGCTCAGATGAGCCAGGTGAGTCTTTCTCTGTTCATTCATTCATTCATTCGAGGTTTTCTGAGTGCCTGGGAAATGCCAACCCCTGCAGTACGGTAGTGACCAAGACAGACCCAGTCCTGCCCTCCCATGGCTCCCTGCTGAGTGGGGGAAAGCAGGCATAGAAGTGACTGGTTTGGTGAGGAGGGTCATAGCTGCTGGGGGAGCCCAGAGCCCCTCCATCCCCACCCCTCGCCCAGCCTGGGGGGTCGGGAAGTGAGGTCTCCACCGAACCCTGAAGTGTGCGGAAAATGGAGGTGCCAGCAGGTGCAAATACCTAGAGACAGGAGAGAAGGTGGGACTGAAGGGCAGACAAAGACAGAAGTGGAGGCAAGGGATAGAGCAGTGGGCTGGGCCCGTTCTGAGGGCCTTGGTGAGAGGCAGAGGAGAACATGGGAGAGTTTGATTTCAGTCCCTGAGGCCCTTCCTTCCCTTTCTGTGCAGCGGTGGTCCTCACGTGCCGTGTGTGTGCACGTGTGTCCGGGGGATCGGTCTGTGGGTGGATGTGATGAGTTAGCCCTGAGGTCACCTGGAAAACTACCTTCCTCCCACAGGTACAGCCGCCTGTCCTAACGGCAGCTTCCACTGCACCAACACTGGCTACAAAGCCCTGTACATCTCCTCCCGATGGGTCAACGATGGAGTTTGCGGTGAGTGAGATCACACCGGGGTTGGGGAAATTGGCGGTGGCGGGGAAGTAGGGAGGAGCCACTGCCGGGTCTGATCCCATCCCTGCTTCTGCTCTCAGACTGCTGTGACGGGACCGATGAGTACAACAGCGGGATCGTCTGTGAAAACACCTGCAAGTATGTGGCTGGCAGCTGCTGCCCTCCCCCGCCCCCCCTCCCCTCCCCAGGGTCCTAGCCTTACCCCATCCAGTGAACCAAGCCCTTCTCTTTTCTGCTTTGGCCCATCAAGTGCTCACTCTGCCAGGGCCTTGTGAACGAACACCACGTCGCCTCTCCATCCCCGGCCCAGAAGCGGGCACAGTTGTTTCCCAATTTAGCAGATGAGGAAAGTCAAGCTCAGGGTAAAAAGGGACTTCCCCAAGGTTCCCACATCTAGGTCAGATCAGAGCTAGGACTTGAACCCAGGCCGGTCTGACTTGAGACTCCCATCTCTGAATCACTCCGCTCTTGTGGCAGACCCTGAAAACTGAAATGCCCGCGGCAGGTGGTAGAAACAGCAGAAGGCGGCTGAGTGTGAGGCAGTAGGGAGTGGTGGGCATTGTGGCATCTAAAGGAAATACTTGCCCCTTGACTTTGGTTGGTTGAAGGCAGGCGGCCAGGCTAGATTCGTTTTTCAGAGAAGCTGAAAATCCCAATACTTTTGTAAATTTGCCTTATGGAAGATCTTTTAGGTACAGGTTGGGTCAAGGGCAACCCAGTTACCCATCAGATGGCCTTCTCCTCCAGGAGTCTGATTTCTGTGCTTTTCTTTCTCTTTTGGGGGCCAACCTCTAGCCCCACACCTGAGCGTTCCCTAGCCCCTCTCCTAGGTCCCTACAGTGAGCAAACTCTGACCATTATCCCTTCTCTCGGGGACAGGGATGAAGAGCTCTGAGCCTGGGGAGGAGGGGGGAGGAGGGTTTGTTCTGTATGTTTTCCCCTGTGGGGCGGGCTGCAGGTGGGTTGAGCCCTTTTGGAAGAGGCCGAGCTGGTGAGCCCTAAGGGCCTCCCTGGGGGTGCTTGTGTGTTCCCTCCACCCCAGAGAGAAGGGCCGGAAGGAGAGAGAGACACTGCAGCAGATGGCAGAGGTCACGCGAGAGGGGTTCCGCCTGAAGAAGATCCTTATTGAGGAATGGAAGAAGGCTCGGGAGGAGAAGCAGGTGAGGGACCCTGCGGGGACAGCCCAGAACATTCTGGGCCCTGAGGCCTAGAGTCTTGGGCTGGTGAGGCTGGGTGGGATTGACACCCGCCCCTGACTAATGGGAGTTCCAGGGCCAGTTACGTCTGTGTGTGCCTTGGTTTACCCATTTGTCTGCTGGCTGTTCAGTCACTGGTTAAGCCGTTACCAGGTGGTGGTCAGCACGGGTGTTGTGCAGAGCCTTGAGGGGCTGAAGTGGGCTCAGAGGAGCTCTCTTCCTGCATCCCAGAATAGGAGAGGCGCCTAGCTGCATCCTGGTTCTGTGGTGCCCTCATCTGGAGGATGAGGCCAGTAACTATGTGACCTCCCTGTTCGAAGGGAGGAATCAAGACGTTGTCACAGCAGCCTGGGTAGTTCTATAGGTCAAGTGCTGCAAGGGCTGGAAGAAATCGTGGGCTGCTGGATAGGTCAGAGTCCTCGGCTCTGTCCCTGGACTTCTGCCAGGCTCTTCGCAGGAGGACTTCAGCTCTGTTTTTCTGCCCAGGGAAGGTTCCGGGTCTTTTTCCCCTCTATGCCCTGGCTGGTCAGGCCCCTCCTGAGGTTGGGGGTTGGGGGGGAAGCAGTGATGTCCCTTCTGGGTTCAGAGGATAGTGGGGGAGCCATGCAATGAGGTTGGCTTTGAGTGGCTTTTGCCCTCATGGGGGCAGTAGGAGGATCCTGGGAACAGCCCAGGCTGAGTTGTGGGGTGGGGTATTAGGACGAAAATGATCCCATGGTGAGGCTTAGGCTAAGACCCTTCAGCTTGGGGCCCCACAGCACACTCGTTCCTTCTCGAAATATCCACAGAGGCCCTGGATGTGCTGCGGTGTAGTGGGCGGAGACTGGAAACAGACCTGGCGCTGCCTCAGGGGCCCATTGTCCACTGAGAGGGACAGATGCCAAAGTGACACTCAGAGCCACTGGAAAAAGGGACATTTGGGTTGGGGCTTTGAGGCCTAGAGGAGACTTGTGCCTGGTCTCCCTCTCCCCCCCGCCTGTTGTGGTGGCAGGAAGCAGGGACGGCTTCTGGAGGAGAAGGCCTCTATCTAAACTGAAATCTGTGGGATAATTCAGAGTCAGCCATGCAGAGTGTTCTAGACAGAGGGAAAGCATGTGTGAAGAACGGGAGGCAGGGGGCCTGTGGGGGATCTAAATGCTGTCAGGGAAGTTGGACCCTGTGGGGTAAGAAAGCGTTGGGGCAGTTGGGACTGGAGCGGTGGGCCTGGTTTGGCCGGCCCTCCGGGGCTGCCTCGAGGTGTTCAGGGTTCTCTGCAGGGAGCTCGGGGGAACCACAGGAAGGGGGAGACCTGGGGAGGCGTGCGCTTCGGGAAGGTCACCCGTGGCCGCCCTGTGGAGTGGAGGCAGGGAGGTGGCACTCGGGAAGAAGGCAGAACAGGAGACATGGCATCTTGCCTTTCGCCTGCCCAGGAAAAGCTCGCTGAGCTACAGGCTGGAAAGAAGTCCCTGGAGGACCAGGTGGAGATGCTGCGCCTGGTGAAGGAGGAGGCCGAGAAGCCAGAGAAGGAGGCCAAAGACCAGCACCAGAAGCGGTGGGAAGGTATGGCCAGGGCTGGCCAGGGCTGGCCCTTGTCTCTGGCTGGGAGGCGCCTAGGCCCGGGAGTGCCGCTCATTACCTGCTGGCTTGCGTGTCTGCTGACTGTCGATCATGGTGCCTCGGTCCCCCACGTGCCCCCTTGGCTTTGCCTGTGCGTTGGTCATTGCATTCGAAAGTCATTTGTAGGAATAATCTGCCACCTAGCAGAAGGGATTTTTTTCCCGAGAGGAGATGCTCTTCTTTCTGCCAGCCACCTGGGAACACTGCCATTGGGGGACCTCCCGAATCCAAAGCAAAGGCCTGAGGCCCCTCCAACCTGTCAGGCAGAGTGAGCTGAGGCGGGAGCACAGGCTGGGGATTTCTGGCCCAGCCTCTCCTTGAGGGGACAACCCTGGGGTGAGGTCACAGCTTAGTTATGGGACGGGGGGAGGCTTTGATTCCCTCTCCCTTGCCTCACAAATTCTCATCAGCACAGATCTCCAGATTTGCTGGGAGCTTCCATGTTCTTTAACCTTCCTGAACGGCTTATTGCCCTGGCAATTTATGTCACTTCGGTGGGTTGAAGATGGTTTTTTACACTTTGCCCAGCATTTTCTTGATTTTGGCAGGTTGTGCTGCCATTCTGGTAAATCGGGAGCCTTGGCCCTCGTCCTCAGTCTGTCCAGTGGGGGTCACCCTGTGGAAGCAGGCCAGATGGGAGAGGTGGGCCAGAAACCCCCTCCAGACTAGTCAGAGGACTAGGCATTGCAGGAAGGATTTGAAAGTGTGGCCCTGGCTATTCCCCCGGCTGGTAACCAGGAGCTGGGCAGCTCGTCTCTGAGTCCACACTGCTGATCTCCATCTCCTGGGCATCTGCTGCATTCTTTGTCCCTTCCTCTCTCTGCCTTGGTTCCTCACAGTCGGTGATGCAGCAGTTCACCCAGTGTTCATGGGGTACCTGCTGCGTGCCAGGCACACCCCAGGTGCCAGTAGTTTAGCACTGAACGAGATGGAGCTAGCCCCTGCCTGCTGAGAAGAGTGAGCCAGGCAGAGGGCACAGGTGCAAAGGTCCTGAGGCAGCCTCATGTCTGGTTTTTAAGGGACAGCAAGGAGGCCATGTGGCAGGAGGGAGGGAGGGAGGGAAGAGAATCAGAGGGGGAGGGGGAGAGACCAGGGAAGGGCCTTGGGGACTGTGGGGAGGACTTGGGCTTTTACCCCAAGTGTGGTGGGAGCCATGGCCCAGGGGCAAGTGAGCCAGGGGGGGCCTCTGGGCCAGAGCCCCAGTGGCATCTGCAGCCTCCCCTTCTTACCTCAGCAAAGGCTATTTCTGCCTCCAGACCCTGGCTCCCACCCCCGCTGCTCTTGGGAGACCCTGGACTTTGTTATGTCCCCTCTTTCCTGGGCCGTGTCCAGCAGGTACCTCCCCTCTGCTGAGAAGCACACTCAGGCCCCGCCACTCAGACAGCTGTCCCCAGCCTCTGCCTTCCTGGCCAGTGCTGGGAAGTCAGGGAGTCTCCTCTCTCTGTTCGTCTCGGTGGAAGCTGACTTCCTAACCCATCCTGTGTCTCTGCACCTGGCCCTGCCCTTTGCCAGCCGGGTGACCGTGGACAGGTCCCTTCAGCCAGCCAGCCTCACACCCTCATCTGGGAGAGGGACAGTTGCCAGCCTGGTCTGCTGGGGTGTGGCGGGCCCTCTGGGGATGAGGGCACAGGGTGGCCAAGGGAACCCCGCTGGGCCCGTTGTAGATGGCTGAGCGGAGGCCCGGAGTGTGCTCCATCCCTGGAGCGGCATGGTGGCCGCTTTCCTGTCCAGCTCGTCTGGTGGGGGTCAGGCCAGCAGAGGGGGCACCGTCCATCCAGGTGGAGGTCCATCTGTGGCCCTGTGGCTACTGGCTACAGCCCAGTTCCCTTGCATTCCTGGGACACTCCTGGGACCCCCCAGGAAGCCTTCCTGTCTTGGCCACACCCCGCCCCAGTCTCCATCTTGACCTTCAGTGTTGGAGAGTGGGCCTGGGGTGCATGGGCTGCTTCTCCTGGGGGCTCCCAGACATGGCCGATGCGTGATCTCCCCCCCCCAGGCTTGCAGAGTCTAGCCCCTGCTTATTCAAACCTAAGGTCCCAGGGTGCCTTCAAGCCCCACCCCCCCATGTCTGCAAATCCTCCCCAACTCCCCACTTCAGAGTCTCTCTGCTATTGGCACTTCTTGCCTCTTCCTTGGCCTGACTCGGGACCAGTGCGGGGCCAGGGGCACAGTGAGACATGTGGGGTGTTGGGGCGGGGCAGGCCTCGGGGCGGTGGGTGACAGAGCTGGCCCCTCCACAGAGCAGCAGGCTGCCTCCAAGGCCCAGCGGGAACGGGAGCTGGCGGCCAGTGCCTTCCAGGAGCTGGATGACGATCTGGATGGGGCGTGAGTCTCCCTCTCCTGCCCTGGGCCTGGGGTCCCTCCTCCCACCTCCCCCTCTCCTGCGCCTGAGCCCCCCTCCTCAGCACGGGCCTCTAGTGAGTCCCAAACCATAGCTGACCAAGCCCTTGTTACTCAAGTATAAAGCAGATGCAGAAAAACACTGAGGGTAGATGAAGGACCCTCCCCACCCCACCCTAGGAGCCAGGTCAGGTAGCTGGGGGGTCCTGTTACTTTTCCCAAGCACATTCTGTGGCCTGGATCGCTTTGACGAAAGCCAGACCCCTTCTAATCTCACCGTGCCCCTGAACTTGCTGGGTGACTCAGGCTAATGGCTGAGTGAAGGGGGCTGTCGGGAACAGGGAGTCTCTGTCTCTCCTTTGAGCCCCTTGGAGGCTGTGGAGTTCTCAGGACAGGGCAGGAGACGGGGCTGGGCCCACCTCCGACCCCAGCCCCAGAGCTCACCACCTCCCAACTTCTGCCCACCCCCCCAACTTTGAGGTCCTAAAATAAGTTCTAGGAGAAGGGCCCTGACAAGAGGGGAAGCAGGTAGCGGTGCCTGGAGCCAGTGCTCTCACCGCTCTGCCTGCCTCTCCGTGCACGCCTGCAGGGTCTCGGTCACCGAGCTGCAGACCCATCCGGAGCTGGACACTGACGGTGACGGGGCACTCTCAGAAGGGGAAGCTCAGGTACCCCATCCTTCTCCCTGCCCTGGGTCTTGTAGAGGTCTCGTCCCAGGGTGACCTTAGGGCCAGGGGGCGGGGGCCAGGCTGGCCTGGGGCTGCTCCCAGGGCTGCTGGGGTGCCTGGCATGGCCAGTGCCACTTGGCCTTGCCTGGGGTCGGGGGCAGAAGGCTGGAAGCCCAGCTCTCCTCCCTGCGCTTTGGGACCAGGTTAGGAACACGCCAGATTCCCCGCCCACCTGGCCCCACGTGCTCCCCCGAGTGTGTGGCTCCACTCCGCCCTCCTCCCGTGCAGGCCTTGGCTCTCTGTCCTAACTGGGGCTGGATCTCTGCTGCTGGCTCCTTCCCTGTCCCGCCCTGGCCTCTGCCTCTTCCCTGGGGCCCAGCAACCTCTGCTGCTGGTGCTCTGGAGCTCCCTCTCCCTCTCTGTCTGTTTCTCTCCCCCCACCCCACATGCTCCTCTCCTCTGGGGCCGCCCTCTTTCCCACGGGCCTGTGCTGCCCCCTTCGGGCTGCTCGGCTTCAGCGCCCAGGCCTAACCCTGGGTGGTCAGAGCACAGCCGTGCCTGGCACCGTAGCCTGAGGCCCCCCCTCGAGAGTGCCTGGGGCACAGGGGCGCTCATGGAGGCCCCGATCTTGACGCTGCCCCCACCACGCACACAGGCCCTGCTGGGTGGAGACATGCAAACTGACGCTTCTGCCTTCTATGACCGCGTCTGGGCTGCCATCAGGGACAAGTACAGGTCTGAGGTCAGTGGGGGTAGGGGAGGAGATGCAGTACCCCCTCCAGGCCCCCCAAATGCCTCACAAAGGAACTGCCTCTGCTTCTGGCACAGGGCCACCCTGGCCAGCTGGGTCATCCAGGCACCCTCCGTGGAGGGCCCCCCCATCAGCTGTCTGTCCCTCCCTCCAGGCCCCTAGGAAGGGGTGGAGACACAGAGGCTGCCCATGGGGTGATGGTGTGAGCTTGGACTTGAGCCGGGAGGCAGGCAGACCACTGAGCCCGTAGCGCCCATTACCCACACACCCAGCAGGTGCTCCCCACCAGCCCCCCGCCTGCACCTTCTGAGCCTGACCTGACAGAGCCCAAGGAGGAGCAGCCCGCAGTGCCCTCGCCGCCCGTGGAAGAGGAAGAGGAGGACGAGGACGAAGAGGAGACGGAAGAGGAGGAGGAAGAGGAAGAGGAAGAAGATTCCCAAGTGCAGGGGGAGCAGCCCCAGGTGTGTGTTTGGGGGAGAAGGGGGTGACGGGGTGGGGGCTGGGTTGCCGGCTGACTCTGCCCCTCCCCCAGGAGGCCCCACCCCCACTGGTTCCCCCGCAGCCTGCTGCCAGCCCCGCGGAAGAGGACAAAATGCCCCCCTACGATGAGCAGACTCAGGCCTTCATTGACGGTGAGGACCAGGTGGGGCAGGGAGGGGACCCTGCCCAATTTCATGCTCCCGGTGATCTACACCTTCAGGCACCCTCCACGTGGGCTTCACTGGCTTCCCAAGATGGGCTTGCATTGGTCCTGAGCAAGCCTAGGGAGGGGCATTCGGGGCCTGGAGAAGCCATCCTTGCCCCAATGGGCCCCAAGGGCCCTCCCGCCTTCTCTGGCTGCTGCTTGTTTGTGCCTCCCGGGCAGGTTGGCTGGGAGCCAGCGAGGTCCCAGGAGTCCTGGCCCTCCTTCCGCAGGAGTGGAGAGCCTGTGCTGCAGGGCGGGGTCGGCCCTGAGCCTGTGGAGGCCTGGGTGGTGGGGCGGGTGGCCTAGCAGGCCTGGGAGCTGGGGGATGCAAGTGTATCCAAAGCACCCCCTCCCTCTTCTTCCGGGATGGGGGCGGTTGGGGCCCCTCAGACCTCTTCCCACACTGCCCACCCCTTCCAGCCGCCCAGGAGGCCCGCAGCAAGTTTGAGGAGGCTGAGCGGTCCTTGAGGGACATGGAGGAGTCCATCAGGTAAGGGGCTGGCTCGGGCAAGGCCATGTCTCCACCTGCCAGGCAGCCTCCCCCTGCTGAGCTCCACAGAGGAGGTGGTAATGGGGAGTTGCCCTGGCTACGTGTGCTAAGACAGGGGTGGCTCCCCTGGGGAGGGTCCCCAGATGGTGGGGAGCCTGAGCCCAGCCTCCGAGTGGCCCTCCACTGCTGGTGTGGGACAAACACATTGGGCCTCCCTGTGTTGTCCTGAATGACGCTGCCCCTTAGTGGCTTGGCCTCCCCTTCCAGGAACTTGGAGCAGGAGATTTCCTTCGACTTCGGCCCCAGCGGAGAGTTTGCCTACCTGTACAGCCAGTGCTATGAGCTCACCACCAACGAGTGCGCCCCCAACTGGCCAGCGGGGCGGGTGGAGAGGGGACATCGGGGCCCTGCGCCAGCCTGAGCGAGGAAGGGGGATGGGGGGGTGGGCTCAAGGGCGGTGGGCGGAGTTTGAGGTTCCCCTGTGACCTGGGTGTGGGCGCACGAAGGAGGTTAGGGCCCTGTGTCACCGCCCACCATCCCTGTCCTGTGACAGGTACATCTACAGGCTCTGTCCCTTCAAGCTTGTCTCTCAGAAACCCAAGCTCGGAGGGTCCCCCACCAGCCTCGGGTGAGTGGGCGTCGAATGGATCCCCTTCCCCAGCATCCATGCCCCGGTCACCGTCCTCCCCCAACCCCCTCACCACCCCCGCTCTCCCACAGCACCTGGGGCTCATGGGCCGGCCCTGACCACGACAAGTTCAGCGCCATGAAGTACGAGCAGGGAACGGGCTGCTGGCAGGGCCCCAACCGCTCCACCACCGTGAGTGCCGGGGGCCCGGGGTTGTGGGGGGGCGGGTGTTGGGGGGGCCAGGCCCACCTGAGCCCTTACCTGCGCATCCCAGGTGCGCCTGCTGTGTGGGAAGGAGACCGTGGTGACCAGCACCACAGAGCCCAGCCGCTGCGAGTACCTCATGGAGCTGATGACGCCGGCGGCCTGCGCGGAGCCGCCGCCGGAGCCGCCGGCTGATGGCGACCACGACGAGCTCTAGCCGCCCCCCCGCCCCGGGCGCCAAGGTGGGCAGGAAGCTGCGGTGCTGCCTCCGCCTGGGGTTGCGCCGGGGTCTGAGCAAAACTTCTCTCCTCGTCTCCGTCTCCCATCTTTCTCACGTGGTCTTTCTCTGGCCCCAGAACCTCAAGGCACGGAAATAGCCCCAGCGGTGTCGCCCACCCACCCCGCTGTCTGTGGACCAAGGCCCCGCTCCGATCCCCTCACCCACCCAGCGGGGGTCGGAACCAAGTGGAGCTCCGGGCCCAGCTCTCCGCCCTGCTCTCGGGGGGCCGGGCAGGGCCCAGCCGCGTTCCCAGGCCCTGGCGGCTTCCAAAGGTGGAATAAAGGAGTTCACCCACTCTGGGCACCCCAAGCCCCCCCCTGCCCAGGGTGTCTGCCTCCGTCCCAGGTGGGGATCAGTGACTTGACCTGTGACCTCAAAACAATAAACACGATCCCCCCACCCAACCGGCCTGTGTCTGCCTTTCTTTGCTCAGGTGTAAAGGGGCCAGGGATGGGCGGAGGGAGGAACTGGGGAGAAGTGACTTTCCGGGGATGGTGCCCAGACCTTCTCTCCCATCGGGCTGATGCCACACCTGGGGTCTCAATCAGAGCCTGATTGACATCTGAGATGCTCCATGGGCCATGGAGCAAAGCCCAGCACCACAGGGCAGACGGACCCCGGGCCACTGACATCTGGGTTTTTGCCTGCACCCATTTCCCACCCACCCTGAGTCCCAGGTGTGTCCTTGGGGAGCCCCAGGGCTCCGCGTGACAGCCAGGCCCAGCAGCCTAGGTGGGGTTGCACAGCTCCAGCCGATGACACACTCACAGTGCTCCCCACCTGCCAGCACACAGACAGCCAACGCCGTAAGATTCTGAACTTTTATTTTCTGGCATGAAAAGTACAAATAATTAAACAATTCCATGTAAAAGTCTGTTACCGCGGCCAGGCCTGTAATCCCGGTAATAAATAGTCTAAACGCAACGCAAAGTGTTCTTGTTGGGTTTTGGGTTTTTGTGATTTTTTTTTCTTTTTCTTTCTTTTTTTCTTTTTTTCTTTCTTTTTTCTTTTTTTTTTTTTTACAGTTCTTTATCACCTCCAACATGGACTCTGTCGTGATTTGAAACCTTCTGAATAAATAACAAGATGAAGGGAGGGCTGGAGGGGCTGAGCCCCCATCCTACAGGCCCTGCCCCTGACCCCCAGGGATGTGGAAGACCCCAGGCCCCCCCAACCCCTGGGGTGAGGGGCTGGCCTCTGGGGAGGGGGCCTGGCTGGGCTGAGTTCTGTGTTTTAGAAAAAGAAGTCCCCTCCCAGACTCGGGGGTGTCAGGGGCCTAGGCCTCATGTGTGTGGGGGGGTGTGGGGAGGTGCCCCCTCTGCAGAGCCCGGCTGCCCCAGGGAAGGGGACAAACCCAGCCCTTATTGCTCACAGACGCCTCCTGCACGCTGCCCACGTGTGCACACGTGTCCCTGCGCTTGGAGGGCGGAGGGGAGAGAGCCCCAAGAAACAGCAGAGGGAGAGGGGTGGACCCGCTGGGGGGTGCGTGCCCTGCTGGAGGGGAGCTGGGAGGTTGGGAAGGACTTAAAAACCACAAGAATAAATAGGTTCGTGTATCAAGAACAAGCTAGGGTTTTCACCAGCTAAATAGGACTGAAAAAATTCTCAAGACGAGCAAAAATAATCCCATTAAGACCCCGGACGTCGCTGGCCGCGGGGACCGCCCCACAGAGCACACGCCCCCCGGGGGCCGCTCGGCTACCATTACTGTTATTAATAATTATTATTACTTTAATGATTCCACTTCCCCTTTTATAAATAAATTAGGCATAACCACGTCTCAGCAAAACTTAAAGAAACAAAGAGAACATCGTGGTTCCTTTAAACTTGCAAACTGGATGAAGGAACAGAAATATACACAAATGTCCTTACAGGGCAACGAGGAGAATAAATAGTTAACATAGCAATAAGTTAAAACTACAAGAAGCTAAATTCGGCAAAAAAGTACAAGAAAGTTAACTGGTGCCAGTTTATGTCTTTTTTTTTTCCTTTTTTTTTTTAAATCTCTTCTGTGTGTTTTTTTTTTCTTCCTTTTTTTGTCGCTTTTTTCCTCTTCTGTTTGTGTTTTTTGTTTTTTTGTCGCTTTTTTGATTTTTTTTTTTTTCTTTTTGTTCCTTGCAGCAGAAGCTCCACAGACGTTTACTAACAAACACCGGGAGGGGTCGGGGAGAGAGAGCTGGGCAGTCAGATGGGGCCATGGCCAGACACCAAACGCAGGGACACCGGAGAAAGGGCGACTGAACTCGGGGTTTGCAATTCTCAGTTCCGACTGGGCCCGCTGCGGGGGGGTGGGGGGCTGCGAGGGCTCCCAGGGGCTCCGGCCTTCGGCTTCTGTTGGAATTTTTTCTTTCTTTTTCTTTCTTTTTTTCTTCTTTTTTTTTTCTTTTTTTCTTTTTTTAATAAAGAATGAAAACTAGGGGAATGGAAAGTGTCTGGACTTTCCAGACAGAAGCCGGGGCTGGGGCTTGGGATGGGCGCTGCATCCCCGGCCCTCAGGAGTTTGGAAAGACGGAAAACCCAACAAACTGAAAGGGGGTGACAAGTGGTGGGGGGGAAGGGAATTTGGGGCTGGGCCCCTGGGCCTGGCCACCCCAGGGTGGAGGTGGGGGCCTGGAGGGAACAGCGGGTACTTCCTGCTGGGGAGGCCTTGGGGAGGGGGAAGGCTCAGGGCCCAGCCTCCCCCCTCAGCCTCTGGGCCAGGGCCTCGGCCCAGGGAGGTTCAGCCCCGGGGACAGGGGGTCCTTTGGCCTCAAGTGTTTGGGGGGGGGCTGCCTCCAGCCCACCATGACGCCAAAAGTGAAACGAGGTATCGTGTGTTTGGATGCATGGATGTTGTGTGTGCACGCCTGTGTTCATGGGTGGCAGGGACCACTATGAGCCAGGAGAGAGCTCTGAAGAGAACCTGGGGCCGGGCTGAGCGGAGCCGTGTGTCCAGAGGAGACCCAGGTGGCCTAGCTGGAGGAAGTGGACTGGGCCAGGCTCTGGGCCACGACCTCTCGCATGGGCCTGAGGGATGCTATGGGCGTGTCGGTGTCTCCTGGGTGTTGTATCTGTATCTCCATGACGGGTGTCTAGGTTTGTGTGTCCGTGCGTATCTGTCTCTGCTCTCATGTGTCCACGTGGAAACGTTCGCCTTCTGCACCCACCTGTGGCCGCATTTGCCCATGACAGTGTTTTTGACCGTGGCCACGTTTGCGGAGCCCCCCGCTTCAGTCTCCTGTGATTATCTACGTGTGTGTCTGAACGTCTGGTTCTAGCCAACAAGATCCTGAAGGTGTCCGGGGCATGTCTCTGGGTCTGTCAGTGCTTCTGTGTGTCCCTGTGGGGTGTGTGTGTGTGTGTGTGTGTGTGCGTGCGTGTGCGTGTGCATGCCCCCACGTGTCTTTGTGTAGCTGTGTTTCTCTGTGTGGCCCCATGGACCCCCAGCCCCCAAGCCCTGCTCCCTACCCCTGCCCCAGTTGGTAAACATAACCTGCCAAAATATTTTCTTTTTTTTTTTTTGTCTTTTTTTGTGTTTTTTTTTTCAAGTTCAAGAATCCCCAGTAAAAATTCTCCACGAGGTCTTTTTTCCCTTTTTACAAAAATAGAGTTTTTCTTCCCCTCCCACCCCCCCTTTTTTTTTCATTTTGTTTCTGTTTCCAGCCCCTCCCCCTGCACCTCATACTCCATCCAGGGGCTCTGGGCCAGGGATGCCCACACCCCTCCTCCGTTTTGTTTTTTTGGGGATTTTTAAACCTGTCCCCCCTCCCCTCAGGCTCATCTAGGTGTTGGGGAGGCCTGGGCAGGGGGGTCTGGGAGCGCACCCCCAGCACCCCTGCAAAGCCATCCCGTGGAGGGTGGTTGAAGGTGGGGCGGGGCACATCTCTGCTTTCTTTTTAGCCAAAAAAAGAAACAAAAACCATCGCCATGAACAAAACCAAGACGAGAGAGTGAAGAGCCCAGCCTGGGGTGGGGGCAGGAGGATGGGGTGGGGGACCCCCAGGCACCCCCCCATTCCCTGTAGACTCTCCCCCCCCACCCCAAATGCTCACCCTGTGGCTTCCGCAGGGACGCGGGGCCCTCGTGCCGTCGGTGGTCTGCCTGCGCTGTCTCTCTCGGGGCCCCTCTCTCTCTCTCTCTCTCTCTCTCTCTGCTGCCCGGGGAGGGTGGGGAGGGCGGGCGGCCGTGGCTCAGGCCTTGTGCTGTTTGCTGGTCTTGAAGGACACCTGCAGCACGCGCTCGCCCAGGCGGTAGCCGTTGAGGCTGGCGATGGCCATGGCAGCTTCGTCGTAGTTGGTCATCGTGACGAAGCCAAAGCCCTTGCACTTGTTGGTGGTGAAGTCGCGGATGACCTTGACGTTGGTGACTGCCCCAAAGGGCCCGAACAGCTGCCACAGCACGCTCTCGTCCGCCTCCGGCGACAGGTTGTACACGAAGATACACCAGCCAGCGCCTGCCGCACCCCCCGACAGGCCCACGCCTGCGAGGCCACTCATGCCGTCGATGGCGATGGGCGAGAACCTGGCGATGAGCGACAGGGGACTACTTTGGGGGTCACGCGGGCTCTGCCCTGACCCCCGGCACACCCCTGAGCCCCTGGGACCCCTGACACCGTCGTGACCTCAGACTGTGCGGTGATCCCTGCGTTGTCCTGACCCTGCCGTGGTCTCGTGACCTTTGCCCCTGACCCCACCAGAACCTCCATACTGACCTGCAGCTGTGGCCTGAACTCTGACCTGCTCTGAATGTCAGGCCCTCACCCAGTCCTGCCAGGAGCCTCCAGCTACACCCGGACCCCCTAACCTCTGACCTTACTGGGTCCTTGGCCCGGCCCTGTGGACCCTGGCCCCTTCCCCACTCCTGATGAACTACCCCTCCCTAGGGACATGTTCCCCCCCACGGACCGCACCCTACCACCCCTCCCTGACTAGAGGCCCCCCACCAAGGGCAGCGCTCATCCCAGGCGGAGAGAGTGGCTGGAGGAGCCCCCCACTCTGGGACCAGGTCTCTGACTCATAAAGCAGTCTGCTGTCTTCCTCTGCCTCTTGCCAGACTTTTCCTGCTCAAATTGTATATTTAGGATCCACTCCCCTTTTTCTGCAAGGTTTTGCTCCATCCAGAATGGCTCCCAGCGCGGCAGCCCCGGAGGGGGTTTGTTGACTGACTGTCAGAGGGCCCGAGTGAATGAACAGACAGGACTGGCTCCACCCTCGTTCCTCACTGCCTCCCTACAGTCTGGGCCTCGCTCAGCTCAGAGCGGGCCCCAGTGGGGACGAACAGCTTGCTGGCTGGCACCCTGGTCACGTCCACAGTCTCAGCAGGGTCCCCGTCACCCCCTTTCCTGCCCCCTTCACAGCCCTGTTCACTGTTCCTCTGTCTCCTGCCCCACTAGGCGGAGATAATGAATAACGATAACAATAATCACAGGAGCTGCTGCCTTTTATTGAGCGCCCACTACGTGCCAAGCGCTGTGCTCAATGCCACGTCGTCTCCACGGGAGACCAAGTCTGGCTGGCCCACGTTGGGTCCCCAGCCCCAAGCCCAGTGCCCGGCACTCAGTGTGTGCTCAACAGCTCCCCATGCAGTAAACGCAGGGACCCTCTCGGGGGCAGGAATGTGGACAACGTCATGCGGGCCACAAGGTCCAGCCCAGACTCGGGGGTGAAAGGGGGCATTCTGTGACCCTCAGCAAAGACCATTAACAGTGGCAGATGGGACTCGGACAGTGTGGGAACCAGGGGGCATGGCTGTGACTGGGCCCATGGCCATGACCCCTTCCATGGGCTGGAGAGCACCCTGGAAAGGCCCTCCTGGGTCCGAATTCCATAGTAGCTCTTCCCAGGCATTTTCTAGGCTTCATAGCCTCTAACTCTCCTAATGGACACGCGACTGACTCCCTGACCCCAGACAGGGGGCAGACACAGCTAAGCCGGCAGTCCCCAGGGGGAGGTGGGGGAGGGTGGGTTCCAGCACTGGGGCAAGAGTCCGAGGAAGGACAGTGGGGAGCTGGGGGCAGCAGGGTGGGGGCACTGTTACCTCTTGACTCCGTAGGCCATGTTGAGCAAGTTATCCAGCCTGTGGAAGCAAAAAGGGTGGTCACCCATGGCCTCTGGCCACACCCCCAGCTGTGACTCTGGCTGGCCCTGGCCTGACTGCCCTCCCCGCCCCCCCCCAGCAGGCCAGCAGCCCGGCCCTGCCCCCACCCGCCTGCTCCCCGCCCGGCTGGACACCGCCTGGCACGGAACCGTGGTCACTCAGGCACTGCCTCTCGCCCGCCCTGCCTCTGCCTGGCCTGTGCCCGTGTCCTGTCCTCCCCATCCCAGCCTGCCCAGTCCCACTTGCCTGCCCCTAGCCTGTGGGGCTCAGGTCCCCAGAAGGGGAGGTTCAGGTCTCTTTGGGGTAGTGCCTGGGCTAGGCAAGTGACAACATGTCATGGTGCCTCAGGGTCCCTGTTTGTAAAATACAGGCACTCCTCTCCCATGAGCACACAGCATGGGACCCCCAGCCCTGAGAAGAGGGGGACCCCGATCAGGTGACTCTAAAGTATTTTTTTTGTTGTTGACTCTAAAATTCAAAAATTTCGGGTTCCTGGGTGGCTCAGTTGGTTAAGCATCTATCTTTGGCTCAGGTCGTGATTCCGGGGTCCTGGGATTGACTCCCCCTAACCCACCCCCTTTGAGCTCTCTGCTCAGCTGGGAGTTGGCTTCTCCCTCTCCCTCTGCCCCTCTCCCTCCCCCTGCTTGCACTCTCTCCCTCTCTCTCTCTAATAAATCTTTACAAAAAATAAAAGTCTTAATGCCGATGCCACTCATAGTGCCCTGCATACATTGAGTGCCTGCTGTGTACAAGGGCTTGGCCTCAGCATCTGACATACTCACACATTTCCCCTTTGCTGCCCTCAGTGGTCCCATCATGTGGACACCCTCCCAGGGTCCCTCTGCCCTGCAGGAATGGTGTTCAGGGAGGGTGGTTGCAAGGCCTGGACCCCCCCAGCCTGTGGGGGTCCAGAGTGCCTGGGGCCTTACCGGAAGCGCTGCGTCTGATGGTGTAGGGGGCCTGCGTAGCGTCGGGCTGATGACTGGTAGAGGTGAGTGAGCAGGGCCTGGCCAGTCTTCTGACTTGGGTTATTGGCGAACTTGACCGTGATGGGCTCCGCCGCACCCAGCGGCTTCTGCCCGTTCAGTCCTTTGATGGCCTCCTCAGCCTCAATCCTCTTGTCAAAGCGAATGAATCCCACACCCCGAGAGACACCTGTCAGGGAGTGAGGGCATCCTGAGGACACTGCCCCCTGATGTGACCCCCTTTCCCACTTCTCCGCCCCCGCCATGCCCGTCTTCTCCACTTTGGTCCCACCTCCGTGCCTTTGCCCGGTTCCCAGCCAAGTGCATCATCCCTGGCAGCCTGACCTGTGACCTGGTCCACCAGGATGCGGGAAGTGATGATGCGGCCATACTGGGAGAAGAGCTGCTCCATTTCCTTCTGGCTCATGGTCTTGGGGAGTCCACTGACATATAGGTTAGCATCACGGATGGATGCAGAACTAGGTCTGGCATAGGACACCTGTAGGGAGGGTAAGTGGACAGAGGTGAGGGAAGACCCGTTTCACAGATGGGGAGACTGAGGCCATGTCTTGGCCACCAGCGAGCAGCAGAAGTGCCTCACCTGTTCATGCAATAAATATCTCTCAAGTCATCTCCGTAGGCAGTGCTGAGGGCTTGAGGGAGGGGCCGTGGCCGTGGCCGTGGTTGATAATGTGGCCTGGCCTCCATAAAGTGGAAGGGAAACCTGTCACTGGGTCCCGAGGTGGCACATGTCTCCCTGAGGACCTCGAGTCCCCAGCTCCTGCTCTCACACCATACATTCCGTCAACAAGTCATTTTCCGTTCCTTTGGAAAGTGAGCCCGGGACTCTGGCCCTTTTCTTTCTGACCATCCCGGGGCCCTCGGGGTCACTCGGGTCTTTAGCTGCCAGCTCAATGCTGATGACTCCCAAATGTCCGTCCCCAGTGTGGGCCTGACCCCCAAGCTGCATACCTGTGTGACACCTGCCTCTGGGCACCCCCGAGGTCTCGCAGGGGATTCCACTCAGTGAGGCTGCATCTAGCTCCCAACTGTCCCCAAGAACGCCCCAGTTCAGTAGTGGTAGTTTTATCCTTCTGGGTGCTCAGGTCCCCAACCTCCGTTGTCCCTGATGCCCGTCTTTTACACCCACATCCAATCTACCATCGATTCTTCCTCATTACCCAGAATCCACACTTGCCCCCACTTCCACTGCTGCGTCATGGCCCACCATGGCTCACCCAGGCCAGTACAGCAGCCTCTACTCTACCCTGGTCCCCACTCCCACCCTAACCTCCCGTCTCTTTCCACCACAGCTGCCAGAGGGCGCCTGTGAGCAAATGAGTCAGGGCACATCCTTTCTTTGGTCAGAACCTTCTGTGGCTCCCACCTTCCCCAGAGTAAAAGTCCTTCTCACAGCCCACAAGGCCCTGAAACCTGCCCATCAGCCCACCCCCTCATTCTCATCTCTGCCCAGAATTTCTGTTTCAGCCACACCAGTCTCCTCCGTGTTCCCCAAACACACCAGGCACATTTCAGTCTCAGGGCCTTTGCTCTGGCTGTTCCCCTCGGCCTGGAACACCCTTCCTCTCCTTTCTTCTTCCAGTCTCAGCTGAAGTGTCCTCCCTGTCCTCTTCCATCTGAATTTGGTCCTCCGCTCCTACCCACCCCTGTCACTCTCTGCAAGCACTTCTCTCAGTGGTGAATTAGAAACGTTTTAGTATGATCATTCGATTTGTGTCATTAATTACGGTCCAGCCCAACAATGAAACTCTCTGCAGCTGTTTTAAAAAATGGTGGACATGTATATTTATTTCCCAGAAACAGTGGTGAGTATTGTAAACGGGGGGAAAGAAAAGTCCATTTATAGAGCAGCCTGCGGTGTGAGATGTGACCCCATCTCATTGTGTGCTTATTCGTGTCCTGGAAACACAGTCTGGGGGGGCCACCCCAGATGCTAACAGGTTGACCCAGAGCTGGCGGGGGCCCTGGGGGGCACGAGCTTCTCTTTCCACTTATTTCTGCCACTGTCTATCTTCTGTAGCCTTCTAAATTAACCTCTGGGTAGATAAGGGTCATTGTCAAGGGCCAGGCTTTTTGTTTGGCGTGGTGAGCTGGGAGGGCATAGAACTTCATTAGAAATGACTAATTAAAAAACTAACAAAAGGCGAACATCGGGCTGGGGGGTGGGGGTCAAGGTGAAGGCACTCCTAGGCTGGAGGTAGAGGGGTTCTAATTAACGCAATTGTGCGCACCTGGGGTCCTCCAGGAAACAAACAGAAACCCATCAGCTGCTCTTCTCCCCGGTAATATTCATTCAAAATCACAGCCACATACTCGATGGTTTCCACTCTGGCCCACAGGGCTGTGAGTTTTGAGGCGTGAGGGCTTGTTGATGAATCAGACTTAAGGGTGAGGGGAAGATAGGCCTGAGCTCCTGGGTGGGTGTTTGGGGTAATCAGGGCTCATTTGAGGCACTGAGTAGGACTTCTGGGGTATTTCCCATCCCCCCCATGATGGGGGCTGACCCACGTCCCTCAGCTGGGTGTGGGCTCAGCAACACCCCCTCACCAGGATAGGACAAAGGCAGAATCTGCCAGAACACCCGGTTGGGACTGACCACACAACTGTGCCGCCCAAGCAGACACACACACACACACACACACACACACACACACACAAGGCCACCCCACGCTCTGCACGGCCCCAGTGCCTAGACCAGCAGAAGGGTGACTCAGGCTGCAAAGACATTCCCAGAGGCTCTGGGGTTCTTGGATAAGCACAGTTAAGAGTCACAGAACTACACCGGTCACCACCGCACAAACCCACATCCCATATGGGGCACAGCCAGACACACCCACACAGCCCCACCAGGTCACGGCCAGAGTCACAGCGTGTCACAAAGCACCCGAGCGATAAACACCACGTCCCACAGACACACAGTGACACAAAGTCTGTAATAGCCGGACTCACGTGACAACAGACACACAGTCATGGTGTCCCACAAACACAATGGCTCACAGCCCAGGGTATCGCACACACACGCTCACTCAGGGCATTGCGTGCATACAGTGGCCCTCTGGATTTGTCGCTCTCATGCCCCAGGGCTTCTGAGTCTAGTTGGCCATGGAGCGACCCATCAGGTCATGACCTCATCCTCCCCCACAGCGCACAATGGGGAGAGGGAGAGATTCCTGCACCTCTGTTCCCAGAGAGAACTGGGGGCCAGATGGGCACCCTCAGCTCAGCCTCCCCCAAGGTTCCAGAGCAGATTTGTGGGGTGGAGTCCAGACACCCCCAGGCGAACCTAGAGAGGGGGGTTTCCATGGCGATCCCCCTCCAGGGAATCTGGGCTAGCAGAGTCCCAGCTGCAGCTGCTGAGAGGGGAGGTCTTGGGGGGGAGGGGCGTTGCACAAAGGTGGGGGAGGGGCTCGCCCCTAACCCCGCCCTCCCAGACCCTAATTAGGCTCCAGATGGCAGATGGGGCCCCCACCCCTCCTTCATTTCCATGACAAAGGCAAGGGGGACTGCCCAGACGACCCTGGTCACTCTGCTACTGCCAATGGTATGGCTACCTCCCTGAGCTACCAGAGAATGTGCGGCTGGTATTCTGACAAATAAGGAAACAGTTTCAGAGAGGCAGAGACACTGGGCCCCCGATGCCCAGCTAGGAACCCTTGGAGGAGAGTTTCAACCACTCAGGGGATGAGCCATGGAGAGGGGTGGGTGGCAGTGGGGAAAAGGGTGTGTGGCGAGGGTGAGGGGCTGTAGGGGTTCAGTGGCAGTGAAGGGGGCAGTCCGAGAGGGCAGTAATACAGGGGATTGGGGACAGTCGCAGACGGGCAGTCATGGGGGATGGGCAGCAGAGGGAAACGAGGGCACTAACCTTGATGGTCTTCGTCTGCAGTTTGAGGCCGTTGAGGGTGCTGATGGCTTTGTCTGCATCGTTGGGATCAGAGTAGTTCACAAACCCATAACCGAGGCTCTGCCCTGTGGGCAGGACCAGAATGATGACCTCCCCAGACCTACCAGTGTCCTCCCAGACCCGGTCCTGAGAGGCTGACTGCCATCACTCAAGGTTATGAGACACAGGATCCCCACCTTACTGTTCCCTGAGAGTACTACCTTGTCCCCAGGACACCTCCGATACCCCAGAATCCTGCCTGCCCCCATCACCCCAGAGATACCCTGCCAGGGGTCACACCTGTCTCCCCATCACACCTCAGATTCCCCAGGGTGCTACCTGCCCCCACCACACCAGTACTTCTGAGACTATCACCTCTGTCCCCTCCCTCCCCACCTGCCAGCAGCCACACCTGTGATCTTATCCCGAACCAACTTGCAGGATTCGATGTCACCAATGCTGCCAAAGAGACTCTTGAACTCATCCTGGGTCATGTTCTGGGGCAGGTAGTTGACGATGAGGTTGGTCTTGCTGTCATCAGTGGCTCCATTTGTACCAAGGAGTGGCCCGTTGGGCAGGGCCGGGCCGGCCGGGCCCCCCGCCACCTGAGACTCCATGGCCCCGAGTATCTGCTGGAGACAACAGGCCACACCCGCTCACGGCCCAGTCCCCACACAGGCATCAGTGGGAGTGAGAGGGGCTCAGTGGTGATGGATCAGTCAAGTCTGACATGGCTTAAACATGGAGAGAGGAGAAGTATTATTCTAATAATCTCTTCCACTCCTCCAGCATCAGGCATGCACCTTACATGTGATTTTACTTTCTATGTTTACTTGCTATGCTTGCTAGGTTTGCCTGTTTGTCTAAAATCAGTCTGTGCATTTCTAGAAGAAGATGAACACTCTTGTCTTCAGAATAAGAAATATAATACCTCCCTGACAATGTCCTGCCCTCCTCCCACCAAAGGGAATTCCTATCCCAAATGTGTTAATATTTCTTTTGTTTCATGCATAATTATCCCCCTAGACATTTATCCCCCTCCCCCAGTTTTTCCACTGAGCTGTTTTTTATTATTATTTTTTAAATGAATTTATTTGAGAGAGAGAGTGAGTAGGGGCAGAGGGAGAGGAAAAGAGAGAATCTCAAGCAGACTCCCTTCCACCCAGCACTGAGCCTGATGTAGGGCTCAATTCCACAACCCTGAGATCATGATCTGAACTGAAATCAAGAGTCGGATGCCCAAGAGACTGAGCCACCCAGGAGCCCCAATTATTATGATTTTTTTAAAAGATTTTATTTTTAAGGGGCACCTGGATGGCTCAGTTTGTTAAGTATCTGCCTTTGGTTCAGGTCATGATCCTGGGGTCCTGGGATCAAGCCTTGCATCCGATTCCCTGCTTAGCGGGGAGTCTGCTTCTCCCTCTGCCTCTCCCCCAGCTCATACTATCTCTCTCACTTACTCTCTTTCTCTCTCAAATAAAAAATAAGGGCACCTGGGTGGCTCAGTCTGTTAAGTGTCTGCCTTGGACTTGGATCATGATCCCAGGGTTCTGGGATTGAGTCCCACATGGGGCTCCCTGCTCAGTGGAGAGTCTGCTTCTCCCTTTCCTTCTGCTCGTGTTCTTTCTCTCTCTCCAAAAAATGAATAAAATCTTTAAAAAATCAATAAAAATTAAAATAAAGTCTTTTAAAAACATATTTTTAAGTAATCTCTACATCACATGTGGGGCTCAACTCACAGCCCTGAGATCAAGAGTTGTGTGCTCTGACTGAGCCAGGTAGGTGCCCTTGAGCTATTTAAATATACAACATAATAACATCAGCAAATAATGACAGCTTTATTTTTTTAATCTCCAATCTACACCTGTTATTTATTTTTCTTGTCTTATTGCAGGGGCTACAGTGCAATAGTGGCTTTTTTATTCATGATGTTAAATGAAATGCTTTAAACATTTCACAGATAAATTTGATTTTTGCTGTGGGTTTTCACTTATAAACGTTTAATTTTATTCTTATTACCCTAAGATGATTTTTTTAAAAGAATGGATGTTGAATTTTATTTAACGTTTTTTCCCCCTGCATCTATTTCTTAATAATTGACATATAATATTACATTAGTTTCAGGTGTGTAACATAATGACTCAATATTTGTATGTATTGCAAAATTATCTCCACGATAAGTCTAGTCAACATCCATCACCATACATAGTTATATTTTTTTTTCCTGTGATGAGAACCTCTAAGATCTACTTCTTTAGCAATTATCAAATAAATTCTTCATGTATTTTACATATAAGGACCACACAGAGAAGAATTTTAAGGCCACATCTGGGCTCAGCAGGAAACAGTGCTGGGATTATCTGTAACGGACGTAGGAAGGTAAAGAAGCCAGCGTTTCCTTAGGTATTCTCAGATGGCACGGTTGGCAGATGGGTGCCCTTACTTGAAAAATCAAATCGATTGGTAGGGTTTTCCAAAAGGGATGAATTAGGAAGGATTAGAAGCCATATTCAGTTTCAGCACGAGAGATCACTGTGATTGATTAGCAATGTCTTTGAGGCTACAGAATTAGGAAGTCAGCAGGTACATTTTATCTCAGCCTTCCCTGAGCCAAAACACAATACCATACTTGTTCCCAAATATTGGGCCTCCTGTGTGCCAGGCACAGTGCAAAGCCCTCTATAAGCAATGTTTATTTATTTTTTTTTTCTTATTCACAACCACCCTGAAAAGAGAGCTTAATTTCCCCTGCCTAACAGATGCTGTGAACTGGATGGCTGTGTCCCCTCAAATTCATATGTTGAAAACTTAATCCCCAACGTGATGGTATTTGGATGTGGAGCCTTTGGGAGGTAATTAGGTCATGAGGGTGGAGTCCCCATGAATGCGATTCATGTCCTTATAAAAAGGGGCAAGGATGGGGTGCCTGGGTGGCTCAATCAGTTAAGCGTCTGCCTTCGGCTCAGGTCATGATCCCGGGGTACTGGGATGGAGCCCTGCATGGGGCTGCTCCCTGCTTGGCAGGAAGCCTGCTTCTCCCTCTCCCACTCCCCCTACTTGTGTTCCCTCTCTCATTATCTCTCTCTCTGTTAAATAAATAGAATCTTAAAAAAAAAAAAAAAGGAGGGGGGACAGGATAGAAATCTCTCTCCACCAGGTGAGGACACAGCAAGAAGAGGTCCATCTGCAAAGCAGGGAGCAAGTCCTTACTAGGAAGCAACTCAGGTGGTACCTTGATCTTGGACTTCCCAAGCTCCAGAAGAAGATTTATGAGAAATAAATGTCTGTTGTTTAAGCTCCCCAGTTTATGGCATATTGTTAGAGCAGCCTAAGCTGACTAAGACACCAGAGGGGGAAAGTGAAGTTCAACAATGTTTTAAAAATTACTAAAGGTCATGCAGCTTATAAATGGCGAAACGGGGATTTGCACAGGAGCGTTTCTGATCGAGTGTCTGCATTTTCAGCTTCCACTGCCAACGGAAGAATAGTGCTAGCCCTAACCTTTCTCAGCTCCGTGTCCTCGGGTAGGCTGCATAATGCTCCTGGAGCTCTGCTCCACTTTGCTGCAAACTCCAAGTTATTGGCACAGTGACCCCAGGGAAGGATCTAAAACCACACGTGGGTGCAGCTGGAAAGTATTCTGGGATCAGGTCTGCCATGGGGACAATCACAGGAAGCAGCTTGTCGTGTCTGCCATCCCTGTTTCGCAATCCCGGCTATTAATACTGGTTCTGCCCCATTGACATCTGTGGGCCAGGCACCGCGCGTTGCGAAGTGCTCCCAGGCATCATATCACGTATTTCTCCCAGTCATCTTTAGAGACAGCAACAGTCTCCATTTTATAAGTGAGGCAACCGAGCCCAGAGACGCTGAGTGATATCAATGGCGAATTCGATCTCAAACTTGGCTGTGTTGGACTCCAAAGCTGTTTTTAACGAGAGACCAAAGCATGAGGGCGGCTCTGGCACCTTACAGGTGTGTGTCCTCAGGGATGACCTTAGCTCTTCTTCGAGCCTCTGCTGCCTTTCCATTTACTCTTATTAAAAGGATGGCACAGAGGGTCAACTCCCCTACATCTCCAGTTGGTTGAGCGTGGCTGTCCGGGGGCTTTTGGGGGAGTTAGTTATTCTGAAGCCACATCCAGACTGAGCAGGAACACACCCCGGGGGTTGATTAGCAATGTCTGCCACAGGCACTTGCCATAAAACGGGAATGCACACTACAGAGCCTCGTCCAGTTTCGTAAGGTTAATACTCCACTGATGGCCACGTATTGAGGCCCTGCTATATGCCAGACAAAATCCTTTCTGTGACAATTTCTTGGCAATTCTTCCAACATCGAACATTATGGGACTCTTTCCTTCATTTACCAGAAGAGGAAACTGAATCTCGATGAAGGGTTTAGGAATTTACACAAGGCTGGGTGTCATGCAGATGGTGGATCAAGAATTCAAATCAGGAGGTTGGCCATCAGAGCCCACTTTACTAGTGGCCAAAAAGGCCAATAATAGTAAAAAACAAAACAAAACAAACAAACAAAAAACAAAGTGAAACTGAACCCGTACTCTACACCTAGCCCTGGCATCATGACATTTAAACCCACTCTGTTGGCTGAGTCTATCCATTGAATTCCACAAACATTTACTGGGTACCACCACGTGCCAGCTTCAGGCTCCAACCTCCTCACTGTGTATCCGCTGACACATCGCCTCTCTGGGTCTCTGTCCCAACACTAAAGATATGGCACCAAAGTTCCCCATGCACGAAGATGGATTCTGAGTTCCCGTCTGGGCTTGGCAAACTAGAGTTCTGTGATTGGTTGATGACGTCTGCTATGGGACACCCCCCCCCACCACCAAATAATTAGCAGTACACGAATCGCTGTTTCAGGACCCAGCAGGTTGCAGCTTTGCAACCCCTACTATGTGCCAGGCACTGAGCAGGTGCAAAGGTTTCACTGACTTCCCACAACCACACTGAAAGCTGGAGGTCATCTGTTCCATTTCTCTCATGGAGAAATTGAGGGTCAGAGGGATTTGTGATTTGCCTGGGAGTGACCGGCGGCGGAGGTAGTGATGAGGTTTGACTACTGATCTGATTATCCCAGAGCGTACAGAGCCACCCCAAATGTCCTCAACTTGGATGGGGTTAAAAGGTAATTGGGATCTTGAGGCCCAGCCGACTAATCTCCCCAGCACCCCATCTCCCTCCCATCTGTGCCAGAGCTTAGCAGGATCAGTGTCGCGTTTCCTCTGCAGCTCAGCCGGCTGAGCCGCTAATAGGGATCGGATTGGTGGAGATCACACCCGCCTGGCCCCAGCCCATGGCAAACGTGTGGCCTGGGATGACTCGGGGATCGCAGGGACCTTGGAGGGCTGTCCCATGTCAGGAGTGGAGGGGCGAAGTCAGAGGGGAGGATCCAAGATGGGGAGGCAGAGATGATCCGGGAGCAATGGAACCTTTCCTCCCAGTCTCTCCAGCTTTTCCTCTGGCTCTCTCTCTCTCTTTCTCTCTCCCTCTTTCCCCCCTGTTTCTCTGTCCTCCTGTCCCCTCTGAACCCGTCTGTCTCCCCCTCCCTTTCTCTGCTATTCTTTCTTCAACTCTTTTGCACCATTACACATACATATGACATATGGTTTTTGCAGGGAACACATCTGAGGTCACTTGTTCTGTAGACCCTCCTGTGACTGACCCCTTTGGCCCCAGCTGTGACCCCCTGGTCCCAGTAGCAGTGATAGATGCCTGGATACTGGCCACAATAGGGCATTGAGTGACTATACATGCTAAGGCTGGGCCACCACGTGGTGCTAATTAGACTTCTCACTTCTGGGTCCTTCTTCTTCCATATATATAGGGCCCTCACTGTCTTAATTTATCCCCTCACTTCCTCCCAGATTGTCGCCCTGGTGGACTTTGGCCGAAGTGCCCTCCAGGGGAGTAACCAGGCCTTCCAAGGTTTCAAGGCCCTTCTGTGACCTCTGACCACACCCTCGCCCCTTTGTGCATCAGTTTCCCTCTTTCAAATGAAGGAACTGATCAGAGGAATGGATGATGGACAGCTGTGCGGGTTCTGAGGGTCCTCAGGAGGCTGCACTTACGTTCCTGAGACTGGGTTAGCCGCCCGAGGCCCAGAGAGAGGAGGGTGCCTGCCTAAGGTCACACAGCAGGGAAGCATGGCCTCTCGGTCCTCCTTTCTCCGAGCCAGGTGGGCGGGTCCCAGGGTTCCATGCAGGGAGGGAGTGCTGAGCATCCCTCCACCCACTGTGCTCGCCAAGACTCCAAGAAGAGACCCAGAAAGAGACACAGTGCACAGAGACACACACACACACAGACCGGAAAGACAGTGAGTACGGAAGAAGGAGGCCTGGGCGCTGGGACCAGACAAAGGACGCGCGGCGGCGCGGGGAGCGGAGTCGCGCGGCGGGGGCGGGGGTGGAGCCGGGGTGGGGCTAGGACTGGCCAGCCCCGCCCCCGGGATACGCCCGGGTTGCCGAGTGGAAATCCGAGGGCTCGGGCGAGGCCGGGCCCTAGGGGCCCAAGGGGGCGGGGCCCAGATGGGCGGGGCAGGGGCGTGGTTATACAGGGCGTGGCCGGGCGTGGCCGCGGGTTCGGGAGCTGACCAGCTCGGTGGTTGCTGAAAGCATCGGGAGTGGGGCAAGCGGCGCGGGCGGGCGGGCGCTCTCAAGGTCACCCCGAGGCCCAGGGCCCTGGCGGGGTGGGGCGCCTGGCCCTGGGCTAGGAAACATCCCTGAGTTTCTTACCCCATCCCCCGTGAGGCGGGGGCCCAGGAGTCAGGAAGCCGCCCCCACCCCCCCACCCCACCCCCCGCAGGCCCTCCTCTCCCCTCCCCCTCCCCGAAGCCTGAGGCGCCCGCGCGAGGCTACGGCCCGCTAAGAAGCTCCGAGAAACAAAGGGACGCGGCGGCAGCGGCGGCAGGCCCGCGGGGCCTCCGGGCGCGCCCCCTCCTCTCCCCTCCCCGCTTGCCGCAAGGTCGACAGGCTCGAGGACGAGACGCCCGGTTCCCCGGGCGCGGCCAGGGCCCCGGGCGCGCGATCCGACGCTACCCGCTTTCCCGGGGTTCTCGGGGACGGCTTGCCGCCTTTTCCTGGCCCAGCACCAGTGACTGGGGCCCTGTGTTTGGCTGGGCGGCCTGCGGGGTCCGGGCCTGAATGGAGAAGGCATCCTCCGCCGCTGCGGCCCCTCCCCCATCAGGCCTGCTGGAGGGGGGCAATCCCGCCCCCAGGGCGCCCTAGGACGCCTCTCCGAATCAGAGTTCGGCTCCCTAAGGCCTCTCAGGCCAGACTCTATGCGTCCCCAGCACTCTGGGTGCGGCCCAGCCCACTCTCAGGGCCCGAGGATCGGTCCTACCCCCCCACCGGGGCCTAGCTAGGCCTGGTCCTACCCCCCCCCCCCGCCATCTCCGCGGAGCCTGTGCCTAACCCCTCCCCAACCAGGTTCCATCTCAGCGACAAGGGAATACCTACAGTGACCATTCTTGTGTGCCCAGCGGGCGCGGTCCGTGTTGAGGGCGGCTCCGGGGGTCGTGCACTCCTTGGGGGGCGCTCGATGCTCAAGCCGGGGTCCTGCCCGGGCGGCCTCTGGCGCGGCCGCTGCAGAGGTGTAGATGAAGGCGGCGGCTCCCTCGAGGGCCGGGGACGGGCCCGAGCCCGAGGACGCGCGCGCGGATAGCCGGGCCCCGGGGTGGCCTGCGGGCGGCAGGGGATGGAAAGAGGGAGCGGACGCGGGATTGAGAACGTCCCCTGCGCGGCCCCGCGGGGCCCGGGGAGGTTGCGCTTCCTGACAGAGATCGCGGCGCTCTGCCTTTCGCCGCCGCCCCTCGGCCGGGCCTGTCCGGTCCTGGGTGCTCAGTCCTCTCCCCTCGCCCGCCCTCCCTCCCACCCTCCAGCCCGCGCTGCGCGCTCCGCGCTCTGGGCCGCGCCGCCGCCGCCCCCAGCCCTTTATAGGAGCAGCTGCCAGAGCCGGCGTCCCTTATTGGCTGCGACAGCTGAGCCCCGCCTCCTCCCGGCGCCCGACGGCTCGGCAGGTGGAAACGAGCGCGCGCTGGCTGGGACTCCGCACCCCCAGAAAGCACGCCCTAGGTGCTCGGGTTGCCAGATTCGAGCCCCTTTGCCCCGTAGACCCTGCTCCCTACATTGCCGCCCCTTCTCGGGCGGGCTTTCTGCCGAAAAGACAGGGACGGGTCCCCTCCTCTGTCCAACACTCTGAGCTCTTGGAGGGAAGAGAGCGAGGAGATATCAGTGGCCCGATTGGACGAACTTCCGGAGTTGCTGTCCACCAAGAAGACTGGAAAGGGATGAGGAACCAAGATTTCTATGAGGAGAGGCCCAGGTCCCCAGATTTGGGGCAGTAGGTGTAGCCCCCCAAGACTAATGGAGAAAGGTGGGGGGTGGCAGGAGCTCTTGTCTGCCTGCGGAAAGAACTGGGACCCTGCAGCTTTTGAGTGGGCTAGGTTCAAAAGATTCGTTAGAAAGGTGGGGACTGGCATCCCACAGTGCAAGGGCACCCGGCACTTATCCAAGGGGGGGGGTGGAGAAGTTTGGGGCTTAGGATTCCAGACCACACCCACTGGCGCACTGGGAAACCACTGGGCCTTCTCAGACCCCATAAATTTTTGGTGGGCGGATCTGTTGTATAAATGTCCTGGCTTTCCGGGCTCGGGATTGGCGCGCCTGTGGAGTCACGCTTCTTCTCAGCTAGGAGGAATCTGGCTCCTCTCTTAGGCAATAGCGGTTGACGCAGCCTCCTTCGGTGCGCGGGCTCAAGGGCACATTTACGTCGGGACGGCTATCAGGCAGGAGAAGTGTTCTCACTAGGGCAGGGTCGCTTTCGACTGAGACTTCAGCACCACAGACAGCGGCCCGACGGTCTGGCCGAGGGCGCTACGGGATGCTTAGCGCGGGGCCCCTAATCCGGGAGTCACAGCCTCCACCCTACCCTCGTCCCTGCACGCCCTTTTAGGTTCCAGACTGTCCGAGAATGCCATCAAACCCAGCGAGGAGAACCTAATTTGACCAATCAGGGACTGTCTTCGAGAGAACCAATTGCGGGAGGATGCCCTCGAGATTGAACCAATGAGACGGCGCTCAGCAGAGAGCCCTGCCACGCTGGATGGAGAGAACAGGCCAATCACAGTGGCCCGCGCAATCTGGGCGGTGGCGTTGCAGGTCCCTGGTGGCCCTCTCTTGGGTTTGCCGGGGCGACCTGGGCTGCCGACCCTAGAGACCCCGAGCGAAGGCTTGTTCCCACCCCGTGTTCCTCCCGGCTCCTATCGGATTGCAAACTGTGCCTGTGCCGGGAGGGGAGCTCCTTCTGGGCGCGCGGACCCGGCTGCGGTTTCCATGGCAACTGTTGGGTCTGGATGTTCGAGGATAGCGAAGGGGACTGAGCCCTGGGAGATTTGGGGAGCTCGTGTGGGTGGCCCCAGCGGCCGGACTTGCTCATACTCGCCGACACTTCCATCCCTGGTTGGGATAACCCCTGGTCCAAAGTGTAAAATGAAGCCTAGCTGCGGCCCCGCCCCCACGGGCTGGTGAGGAGCCAAGGGACCAATCTGCCCGTGGCGCCACTGGGCTCCCTCGGGCACGTGCCCGGGCTCGCGGATGCGGTCCCCGGGGTCACGTGGTTGCAGCCACCAGAGCCCACGCAGCTTGCGCGCCACCTGGCGGCCGCCGGCCTCGTATCGCTCCCCGCTTCTCTTGCTAGCGACCAGCAGGAGGCGGCGGCGGCCTCAGCATCCTCCTCTGGGAAATGGGGCCAGGGCAGCCGCCCCGTCGCTGCCAACTTCCCTCCCCACCGCGGCTTCCTGTTCCAGGAACAAGCCGAGCCGTTCTACCTCGGGGTTTTGGCACTGGCTGTTCCTTCGCCCTGGGATTTGCCTCCTCCAGCTTTCTTCAGGGACGGAACCTCTTTGTCATTCTGGTCTACACTCAAATGCCACCATCTCAGAGAGGACCGCCCTGACCACCGACTTAAACAGCCAGAAACTAACATCACTCTATTTCCTGCAGGGTGCTTGTCACAGCTGTAGACGTCTTACTTAGGGATCTACTGAACATCTCCCCAACCGGTCCCTGAGCTCCCTGATGGTGGAGAATGTGTGTTCCGTGGGGGGAATTAGGAGTTGGCATGAGGATCCTGAGTCTTGGGAGATGTCCAGTGGCGTCCCCAGGCTCCTAAACTCCCACCCGTGGGCCTGTGACAGGGAGTGTTGGGAGCTGCCAGGCCAGATAGCTGAGGCCTAGCAGAAGCTGTCAAGAAAAGGGCATCTTCTGGCCTGTAGGGTCATCACCGCCTGCCTTGGCCTTGCTCAGGAAGGGACGAAGATGGAGACGAGGGGCCCGTCCACCCCACTCCAATCATCCAGGCCTAGGGGAAGGGCGTCTCCTTTCTCGCTCTTTAATCTCGCTCTGCTCTCTTGACACAGTTCTAGCAGTGCAAGCCCCAGGCACCACCTCCAGAGATAGGGTGGGGTTGGGGGGGGACCAGCCCCGGGGGGCCCAGCCCTGGGGCAGGGCAGGGGCGCCTCCTTCCGGCCGGCGGTCCGGGAGGCCCCCGCGGCTGTCCGGGCCCCGGCAAGCCCGGGCATCGTGTCCGAGCGGACAAATAAATAGGGGCGATCAGTGGTTGGATGGGTCAGGCTGGCTTGTGGTCCGGGTGGCTTTTGAGCGTGTGAAACTTGACACTGTCCAGCTTCTCGAAGCGCTTCCCGCAGCGCTCGCACGTGAAGTTGTACTGCACCTCGGCCGTGTGCTTCTTCATGTGCCAGTTGAGCGAAGCGCGCTGTCGGCACTGGTAGCCACAGATCTCGCACCTGCCGGGAGGCGACACCGGGGGCGGGGTCAGACTGGGGTGGGGCCGCATTGGGGGCGGGGCCCAAGCTACTAGGACCCAGCCGGCCCGCCCCGCCCCCAACCCTAGGGGTGGACCCGCCCTCTGCGGATACAGGTCCAGACCTCCCCCCTCCCCCGCAGCCCCCCCATCAACCTCATGGGGAACCCTGTCACTCACTGCAAGGGCGTCTCGCCGGTGTGCGTGCGACGGTGTACCTCCAGGTGGTTCTTCCTCTTGAAGGACTTGCCGCAGGTTTCGCAGGTGAATTCACGGACACCTGGGGGAAATGCGGGGCTGAGCACGCCGCCGTCGGGGGCGGGGGCTGCTGGACGTCTCTGCCGCGCTGCCGAAACCGAGTTCCCTGGCGGGCTCCCGGCCCTCCGGGCGCAGGGACACCAGATCCCATAAACTCTGCAGACTCTAATTACGAGGGCGGTTAATACCGAGGGCAGCTCACGACCCCGGATAAGGCTCAGAGGCTGTAGGGGAAGGCTCCGGGGCAGAGCGGAAATGTGAGCTCGGCTTCCCGGGAGGCACCAAATGCAAACTGTCAAGCCAAAGTGGGTCTGAATTTGACCCCAATATTTGAACTTCGGGGCGACTTCACATAAAAATCCAAGGTTCCCACCTCTTGAAAAATCTGAAGCCGTCCCTTCCCGCTGGATACAGGCACCACAGCTACCCACGGAGTCAGCAGCCAGCGCCCTGGGGGTCAGTCCCAGGGAGGGGGGCAGTCCTATGCCTGGGGACCCAGTGCTCCTCGGGGTTTCAGCCCGCCTGCCCCCGCCCTAGATCCAAGGCCCATGACCCTGTGCCCCTTGCTGCCGGCGCCACCGGGGGCCTGACCTGAATGAATGATCATGTGTCGCCGCAGGTGGTTGGATAAATAGAACTTCTTGCCACAGCCAGGGTGTGGACACACCTTGGTCTTCCCTTTCCGATGTACCAGATTGACATGGTTCTGCAGGCAAGAGGGGCAGGAGTGGGGCTGTGGGTGCCATGGGCCCACCTCCAGGGTTATCCACGGTGGGGACAGACAAGCGTAGCTGGGAGGCAGGCTGGGGCCAGCCTTTCTGGGGGAGCCAAGAGAGGGGCCCTTGCCCTTGCCCTTGCAAGGGCCTCCTGGCTCTGAGCAAAGGCTCAGGGACACAACTGGGATCAGCCACAGCTTTCTTGGGCACCGCCGACAGCCAGGGCCTGGGCTGGGGCATCAGGCAGCCTCGTCATAACCTTGAGGTGGGGCCCTGCTATTGGCCCGGTTTTATGGATGGGGAGATGAGGCTCCAGGGGCAGAGCGTTTGGCCCATCTCACGGGTGGGCAGTGGAAGGCTTGGCCTGGGTTCCAGGGCTCTCAGTCCCGAGGCAGGCTTTGCCATGGAGCTGTGCTGCGCCCGCAGTCCAGGCGGGCAGGCCCCTCAGTCATTCTTTTGTTCTTTTATTCTTCCACTCACCAGCACGTCTGTAGTTCTAGGGCCCAGCGCTAGGCCCGGCACCCGACAGATGCTCAACACAATGCTGGAAAATGAGACCAGGCGAATTCAAAGGCCTACTGGTGCCACCATAGGTGGGAATGTGGCAGGACAGTCTCTGCCCTTGGGGCATCCCATCCAGGCTCCTGGGGACAAACTACAGGGACGTCCTGATTGTGTTGTGACCTGGGGCTTGCAGACCCCTCTAGACCTGGGGGGGCTAGGGGGACTTCCTGGTGGAGGGGCCTCCAGAGCCAAGCCCGGAGAAGAAGCATCCGGAGCCAAGAAGGTGGCTGGGGCAAAAGCAGGCTGAGTCCAGGCTGACTAGAAGGCAGGACAAAGGCACTGGAGAGCAAGAAGGGGAGGCAGTGAGGTGACACCTGGCACCCTGTGGCCAAGGAGGGGTTAGTGAGAAGCTACTGAGAGGTGGGCATGTGGGAGGCAGGCCAGTGGCACCTGGTGGGGCCAAGTGGGGCCATCCGTGAGCCACACTGCCCAGACGCCTGCACACAGGCAGCGGGAAAAGGAAGCAGGCCCTGCTCAGCCTGCTGGGCCAGTGGTCTCACCTGGAAACTGCTGAGGGCCACGTAGACC